TATGAAGTTAATGATATGCTTGTGGTCTCTTGATAGGTTTACTTAGTATATGCAAGGTTATAGGGCTTCACATGTACATTGCACTAGTAAACATAGATTGGGGTTGCTAGTAAGGTCTTATAAGAGTCTACGTAAAGTGAAGTTACCATATGTGCAAATTGACTATGGTTAACTGTAATGGTTTTGAAAGTCTTGACGTGAATGTGTCTTATGATGTGCTATGCTTCTATTAATGTACGTATTCAGTTAGCAAGGTTATATGGATGAGTACCTTGTTACCTTAAGGTGATGCATTACACCAAGTATCACTGTGGTAATACTTGGAAAGTTAAGAAGTTAGGAAGAAAAAAAGTTCACTATGAAAGTATAAATAAGCTCACCGTAATTGAAATAATCTTATTGTTAAGTGGTGACTAAAATTCATTTCATGTGATGTATGGTTTAACTTATGTAAAGTTGTGACAATTGAATATGCCTAAATAAAGTATGTAAATGGTATAATGATTATTGTGTCATGTTTTATGATGGTTTCACAAAAAGGCATGATCCATGGTTTCAAAGGAAATGAAAATTTTTAAATGCATGTTTTTGCATGGTAGTCATACTTGAGTATTCTTGTACTAACTTCATTCTTCTTTACCTTTTTACACAATTTGTAGGTTATTGATGCTTAAAGAATGTTTCTATGTTTAAGAGCTTAATATGTGATTCCCAAGCTCAAGGAGAGGAATCCTTAAGTTCAAGGATTTCCTAAGTCATGTCTTACTGTAAAGTCTTGTAATAGTATACTTTTGATTTATTCTATAAAGGTATTGTCCCTAATGTACTATAATAATGTCATATCTAATATGGCAAATAGACTTAGATTCTTATTATGTAAGTATAATATTTTATAGATAACGGAAGTGATGTTTCTAGTATATGATGTTCTATAAAAATCTTTAAATTCTCCGCTAAATTTACCTAATAAAATGTGATGAATGATAACTATGGGATTGTATATGACCTCCAAGAGGTCCAGTACGCCAAATTACTTCTAGGGGGTGCGCCCTGGTCGTGACATAGCATTTCTATAGATAAGTAGAAAAGTAGAGCAATCTTACCATTTCGCCAAGCTTTGATCTTCATTGATAAATCCTCATAGTTCATCAATAATTTATATATAAGGCAATAGCTAAATGTACAATAACATAATAGAAATCCTAACTCAACCATTATAAGTTCAAGATCACATAATGTACACTACATCATCAATTTTATAGGAAGTATAGAACAATAGATCAAACATACCAAATATCTAAACCTTGATCCTCATTGATCAATCAACAAAAATTCCCCATCAATTTTAACATAAAACAGTAACTATAAGTAATTCAACATACTAGAATCATAATTCAATCAACATAGAATCAAGATTACAATGCCACATTATAAGCTAATTGGAGAAATTTAGAGGATCATAGATTCATCATGAAATTACATTAAAAGTAAATTCAAAACAGTAGCTACTACAAAATTCATCATAAGCATTTTTCTAAAATCGTTTTGGGAAAGAACCCATGATTAGATTGAAAGATTGAAGGTTTGATCGTGAAATCTCTTTGAAAATATTTAAAGGAACTCTTTAGATGGAAGGTTCTCTAAATATGAAGAATACCTATATCTCACTATAGAAGACAACCACGAAAAATTGATGAAGAAAGCTTGAAGAGACATCAACATGGTTGTTCATGAGCTTCATTTTCAATGGAGGTTTCTAGATAGGTTTTGTTTTGACAGTGAAGTCTCATTTTTCAGAATGGATTTGAAATGGAGTTTTAATCCTTTTTACAAACGTAAAATAAAAAATATTCCACAATAACCCTCCATAGTAATTTAAAAACGTGGGGTGAATTTACTATTCACCCCTTCAATGAAATAATGCAATGCAGCAGTTGCAGGAACCAAATGACGGTCACAAAGCTACACCTCATAGACTAATCGATGGGTCGTACTGCCAACCGTCGTTTGGTTCTGAGGCTCAATAATTGGGGCTTAAGATCCCCAAGTTATGTGTAGGTCTACCCCTTCCCATTGACGGGCGTAGATGAACTGACGGGGCGTCGTTCCTGGCGTAGATAGATACTGCCAAGGAAATGTCTAGAATCCTTTGTGTCCACTTCAAGGACCTTTTGCGGGGCCCTTGGGAAATCACACCTGGAAGTTTCCAATGCAAATACGATCATATACAAGTTAAGGACCTTCCATATCAATTTCAATCAAAAGAAACACATAAAACATAGGATGAAACACTAAGGCATCATTTTTTTGCACTTAATGGAGGTTTGAATCTCAATCATTCTGATTCAGCCAATTTAGTACATTTAGTTGTTAGGTTTGAATCTGAATCATTTAAATTCAGCCAATTAAGTTCATTTGTTTTATTTTTTAAAATGTCTCTTAATGGGTCTGAAGAGGTATGAATGAATCATACATGTAGGAGACTCTTAATAACATTTAGACTCTTTTAATATGTTATCAAATAACAAATCATCGCTTTCTGCGTTAAGCATGCCTTGTTATCTCATAACTGAAAACCATTTTTCCCTCTTTAACTTATAAGTTTTCATAAATCCTTTCATTTTTTTATATTAATAATTTTCTTGAATTGACTGTGTCAAGAACACTTTTGGTGTATTGGCGTTTATCAAGGTTTTTGAATGAAAAATTTTTTACTTCCAAATCATGATTGTTAAAACTTTTTAAAAAAATTTTTATCAAAAGAGATATATTTTGTTGATATGAAATTTTATGATATTTTATTTATTTACTGTTAATTTCACATGCACATTAGTATATTGAAAACAAACAGTATTAATTATTTAGTGTTAAGACTTAGAGACCACATTTTAATATTCGAGATGTTTATTCAGATCAAAACACCTGAATCTTAATGAAAATCTTAATATTTAGATGTGTATTCACATTTAAACCTCTTAATCTTAAAAGAAACACATGAGTCCTAAGACACACAAGCATGTCTCAAGGCTAACTTTTGAACATCATCGGACGTTCTTGGACATTTGACCCCCTAATCAATTCAAATTAAGTATGCATACTATAAAACACTTATTTGACATATTTAAAACATTTTTAGGCACCTGTGAGACCCTAAGAACCTTAATAAATTTTCAGGGTCTTGACAATATCCCCCTCTTGGATACATTCATCCTCTCATGACATTTGGGACAATTTTTTTAAAACACTTTCCACGAAAAAATCGACCATAGAGCAGCTTACAACATTTAAAAATAAATCACATAAAAAATTATATGCACCAAACATAGAGGAACACAAACTTCAAACTATTTTGCACTCAATGAACACAAGCATGAAAAATCTTATTCAATCACTCCTTAATGCATGAAACACATAGGTTGTTTTTATCTTCATAGGAGGAACATCCTTATCCTAATCATAAAATGGTCTTTACATTTCATTTCATTAGGATCTCATTATGAAAAAATCTTTAAATTATATAGAGACAAGTTCAACATACTCGAAAAAGCACAAAAGAAACTCATACTTCAGTGCATATATACTTAAGTCAAGTACACAACACCATTTTAGGCTTAAGGACACACTAAATATGGACAACGCTTATAAAGTGTTGCCTTAAATTTTTTTTGGGCACACTTTTAAAGAGTAGCCTTAGTTTTTAGGTTTTGACCACGGTGACATTAGCAACATTTGTCAAGTGTTCTCGTTTGTGGTATAAGCTACATTTTTTAAGTGTAGTCATATCATGATATAATTGGCATCACTTATTTATATCTATGAATACATTCTATTTAGAAAGCAACACATTATAAATATGGCCTTATGAATTTCCAAAAATTTTCACTAAGATTTTATTCCCTCCAACATATTTAACTCTCCCTCTAATTTCTAATTGGCCAAAAATAGAACTCGTAGAAAATAAATTAAGAATCTCTCAAATTAAACAACATTTAACTCTAAAATCAAATTTGTACCCCTAAATTAGAATAAGAGTGGCTATTTACCCTTCAATCTCACGCCTAAATAAACCCTAATTCCTTTTTCTTCGTCACATTATGAATAAAAATTCTCAAATTGATTGACGTTTTATTGCTTTATGGTCTCGAACTTTTTCAACATTTACAGCACTGTCACAGTATCCTCACTCAAGAAAGCTTCTCAAGTGGAGACCTCCTCCTCCTTGGCTTTTCTGAGGAACCAATTCAGCAACAATTATTACCATACATTAACAACTAGTAGTTAATCAATTTGTTTAATGAGGTAAATAAATCATAGGAATTTCGTGCGAGCGAAGCTTTTGAGAAATATTTTTTTGGATACTATTTGTGCAGAGTGTTGTGCATTTAGTTATGCATTTTCCTTTTAGTTTCTGAAATGTGATTGCAACCTGTTAACTGTCGTTCAGAAGAGGTTAATGTGGGCTGTTATTTTGTTATAATTCTTTTTCTTTTGTTGGTGTAAGTCCTGAATCCTCATATATGTGACTGTCAATCTGTAGAGTCTCATCTTATAAGGTTTATGGAGTTGTTCCACCTCTACGTTAGCCAGCTTTCAGGTTTCTGGTAGTTAATTAGAAGCCAATAAAATACCCACAACCACTGTAGCTGCACATATTTTAGCTCCTCACAGCAGCAGTAGTTCTTGTGACTGCAGCTGCAGGTTTGACTGTTGTTGTTCCTCAGGCTACACTACTTCAATCTCTAGGCTCACTGAATCATGTGCCTTCTCAACCTCCCACCAGTTGTTATCCTCATCAATTTTTACAAATAAAACAACCTATATTGGTTATGATGGTATATATCCCAAGCCATTGCTTTGCAGCAAGTTTCTTTGGCTCTTAGACTATCTAAATCTCCAGCCACTACCACAGTTCATCCAGTAACAACGCGGCCAAGCATCACTTCACAGACATGTAAAGGTGCTTAGAAGAACATGTGCGCTGCACAGAAGTATAAATTTCAATAAAATGCGACTGGTGGAAAAGGTCAAGAAACTATAAACCAGGTATGTGCTTAGTCTCCTTGACTTATACAATGGTATCTCCAGGCAATTGCCCTTAACTGTCCTTTGATGAGAAAATTATAATGGGCATCTTCTTGGAAAGTACATAAAGCTAAAATAATTGACCAGAGATAGGAATGAATATTCAAAACATTTCATATTATAATTTCTTGCATATGAACCTAAACTTAAGTGTCTAGAAGTTCCTCTATTATTTGTATCTGCTTATTGTAGTATCCAACGGGCCACTGGCTGTGCAAAAATTTTTGCTCCAAGACTCCAAAATAAACCAATCTCCTGGATGAGAACCAAAATTTTAGATGATATCATGTAAAAAATGAAATTAGAAAAAAAAGGAGGAATTGTATAATGATATATTAGTACTGCAATTGCTACTTTTCTAACTCAATTTAGTGGAAGATTGAGGGGCTCATTTATCGGTTGTCTGAATGGATAAAAAACATCGCTAAGTGTTTCTGTTTAGTCATTCATTGATTAAACTATGTGTAATATATCAGATCAACTTCATGAGTGACGATATAACTGAAGAAAGATGTTGGTTAATGTGAGACTAGTTCACATAGTGGTTATGACTAGAGGTCACAGACGTATTTTTTTCCATTCCTCATTTGGAGGGACTCCATGAAATCACAAAGTTCCTATGACTTGTTGGACAAACTAGTAAGTAATTTATTACCATAGAAAAATTTTAGAGGTAAAAAACTGTATCATTTCCTTTACAAGAGAAATGTCAAGGAAATTCAGGAATTTAACCAGCATAAGTTTTTATTTCTGTTGGAAATCTATCTATTGTTTTGTATGCTTGTTCTTTCATTTTGTAATTCTATTTTTCTAATAGAGCCACTGGAATTGAAGAACAGTTTAGAGGAAGAAGGATGGAGTGTTGGAAGGTCCCCAATTCATAAAGCAGTTACAAGCTCATGGGACCATCAAGGTGAATATTGTTAAATGCTTATATTTTTGTTATGTTGTTTGCTAGTGTAGTAGTTTTGTCAGCGTTTTCATTTAGAATTATGATGCCATGGATTCTTTTTTGTAATAAACTTTCTTGCGTGCTAACTTTCGTTGACTGATCACAATGTATTTTGGTGCGTGGTGTCTCCATTACTCTCTCTACCATGGAGCACTGGCCTTTTGCGGTTTTAAAAAAGAAAAACCCCAAAAATATAGAGCAGGGTAATTCAAGTGAAAAGCATGAATAAAAGTTCACTAGTCTTCAAAGTACGGTGTACATTTTCCAAAAATACAAGAAGTTCCAAATATATGTAATAACATCGAGTTGCTACATAGCTGCTATAATTTGTTTTTTCTTTATCTATTTCATAAACCCTAAACCCTAGATATTTTATTTGATTCTTTTCTATGCTTATGATACTGTATATTACTGTGCATTTATCCTTTATTCTATCGAACACGTGCATTACTTTAGAAACAACCTAATTGTTTGTTAGTGCAATATTTAGCGTGGCAATAGTTGATACTTGTTTAACTTTCAAAGCTGAGGATTAGTACATAGAATGACATGTTCATGTTTACTAAGGTTTATCCATTTACCAGTTGTTCCACATTATACCAGTAGAGTTTAAATTGCCCCTATTAATATATGGTTATTTACATTCCTCGAAGTAGGAAGTTCTTGATCAGCAGAGTAGCTTATTTCTTTAAATTTGCTCCTGGATTCATACTATCTTTGTTAGGCATTTCTAGACTGGAATTGCTCAGAAATATATCATATATTGACTTTCAAATTCAAATTATGACCTTTATTATTCCAAATATTTTCCTAAATATGTAAATATCAAGTCTTTTTTTATTGTAGTGTAGAAACAAAGTCTATTTTAATCACATGTAAAACACTATGTTAACTCAAAAAATTTACATTTTGAATTGCTTTATTTTAAGTGTGTTGATTCTTCACTTCGAAGCAATGAACCAATGCAAACCTGGGATTTTTTCAACTGTGTGCCTTCTTTTGGTTCCTCATTTTTTTCTTTTGCTTGGGTAGAGGTATGCAGTATAGCCTATAAATGATGAAAAGTAGGGAAATGTTATATTTACATACTGTTCTGCCTATGGTTGATTCTTATAACAATGTTCTTCTTTAGTAAAAGGAGAAACACATGGTGTCTGAAAAGAATATGCAACAAGTTACAAAATTGTATATGAAAATTGAATAAAGTACATAAAACTAACTTAATAGTTATCTTAATTTTTAGCAAATGCTAAATTTCTTTTATAAAATTTTTCCTTAATTTAGTTGCACACAACAGATCATGTCAAATAGAGCATCCTCTACATTGAACTTGAACTACAAAAGCTTCTCCCAAATCCTAACATATGAATTTTGAGAAATGTTACCGCCAAATACTAACTTATGGAAGATTGTTTTTAAATATTGCTGGTATTAGTTTTTGTACGTATATCAGTATTGCGCAGCTACTGCAAATCAAGAATTTTTTCTTTGGAGATTAAGGTGCAAATATTTATTCTTTTTATCTTCTAATTCTCATTTGACACCATGCCATATTGTAGACTATGGTTTAATGCTATCGTTTGTTGGTGTTTGTATAATACAATGATATTGGATATATAAAAATAGCAACACGAGCAGTATTTCTCTCCTTTGTTACTTTGTGCGTCGTATAGTAGTTCTACACTTTGATAGGTATTAGCAAAACCTGTATTTATCATCTCTCATCAAATTTCGTTTATATTTTAAGATTTTTTCTGCCGTATATCTATTTTCTGCTCTTGTTCTGTCAAAGTAGTCTCTTTTGCTTGTAATTATAAATTCGTTCTTTGCTCTCATGCTAGCAAGAAAATTACTAATGCTAAATTTGTTTTTACATTTTCAAGTTCTATTGAAAGAGCTTCAAAAAGTTCAGAGGCCTGCAGCTAAGAAAGATACATCACATTCACCTTTCGTTTCCCAAGTAGTTCTTCCTTCTAGGTAAATGATGACCATAGGTTATACTAAACTTGAATTTACGTAAGCTTTTCCCTTATATTGCTTACTTGTATGAATTACATTTGGACTCTTTGCTTTCAAAAAGTATGTTCAGCTGGCTCCTACTTTGAAATGGACTGTTTTAATTCAATTCTTTTCCAAGTTTTTGGATTATATTACTCTATGATTACTAATATAGAACTATCAGATGTATGTTTATGCATATTTCTATGCAAATGCAATGTAGGCAGGCACTAAAACCCTAAAGAAAGTGGAACATTCAAGACTACCGTAATTTCATTTACTTTTGTTGGAAATTCCACTATAACTGTGCATTAGTTATAGGAAGCAAAGTTCCAGCTTTGTGCTACATTTTCTCATATGGTGAGGATAATAGTAAAGATGTATATAACCTAGCAAGTAGTGTTGTATACATGGTTGTTCGTCCCACTCGATGCAAATACAGATGTTCCAAGGAAAATGTTGCTAATATAGCTACTCCAACTCCTGCTGGTCCTTCCCCTCATTCAGCAGCAATCATGTTTACAGGTTCATACATGAATTTAGTACTACTACTATCGGCTATTTGATTGATGCTTATCAATTGATAATATAATGGATGCTGGTTAATCTATTTGATGTGTTTAGAAGAACACAAAATTTGTTGCTTTATTAGTTTAAATAGTATATACAATTGCTCTTGCTTCTTTTGGTTCATTGCATGAGTATTGTTTCCAAACATTTTCCCAATTCGATGTAATATATGCAAATGGTAAATAATTTTTGAGTATTGTCATTTCATTTATCACTTCTAACACTACTATAAATCATACTGCTAGTACTAGAATATCAGTAGAGTATTTGTGTCTATTTTTCATCTTCGTATGTAAACATGAACTTATTATCTTTATTTACAAGGTGGTTTGTAGATAATGAATGGGAAGTCGTTGGGCAGAACAATAATTTTGATTCAACGCAATTAGCTGAACCTCTTATGGGAATAATATGCCGAAGCTACAGATGGTATTCCATTGAAACAAAACCGAATGTTGTTGTTTGGAATTGTCGAGATACAGATATTGGTTTTGTGTCTTGCGAAGCAAAAGAGATGTTAGACCATCTTGAAAGTGTTCTTGCATCTGAGCATGTTGTTGTGAAGAGTGGGCAATTCATTGTTGAAGTTAAGCCTCATGTTAGCCATATCTTAGCCTTTGCATTTGATGCTGATGTATGTTGTTGTTATGTTCCTTGGCGGAACAAACATATTCTACTGTCTTTTCAAGGAGGAAGCTGCTGGTATCGAAAAATCAATAAGAAATATAAAAATTGGAGAAGGATGACAAGAGAATTCATTGTACTTGAGGTGATGTATTGATTCCTAGTGTATGCTGTGATGTAGAAAATTAGAGCACAATTTTTTTTTATCCTTAACAGATTTATCTCATATAAGATTTGGAATTGGTTGTTTTTATCTGTATGTGGATTGTCACCTACATATCAACATATTATGTTTGTTTTGAATGCACTTCAGAAAATAGTGAAGTGATTGAATGGGGATCCATGCCAATTCTAAGTGTCACTTTTTCTATGTTAAAAACTGCAAAATTTTTCTTCTAGTATTATTGGCAGAACATGGTAACACTATTTTTGTCTACTAGTTCTTCCTTATTACTTCCCTTCTCAAATAGAAAAAATATTTATCCTACTAGCCTAATATGTTATTAATCTCTTTATTTTTTTCTGCCTTCTACCTTATGATGTTGCTTGATTCTTGATAGCAGTTGTAAAGAAATAAAATAGATTTGAACTTCTAAATGCACAAATTTAGTTGATAGTCTTTTTCGAATCAATTTAATTTTTAATAATTTTACTGAGCAAAGGTGAATAACAATGCTGTTTGAATACCATGTATAGCACGAATATGAAACAACTGCATATGATAAAACACGAGAAAGATGTCTATCCAGTCCGTCCGACTGTTTTTTTAGTTTTTGTAACTAGTTGATGTGCAACTAAAAGCTGCAATCTAGAATACATTTGCAACTTGAAGTAATTTGCAATCTACAATTTGGTTTAAATTTGCCTCAGTCTGCAGTATTAAACTATTGTAATATTAAAGTTTTGCAATATGGAATTTATCTTGAACTTCTTTTCTCTTCTATAACTGTTGGAATCTGATTTTGCTGTATATTTTAAATGTTTAGGGAAGTGAAGGTGAACAAATTTTAAGGGTCACCACAAAACAAATTGATGTCATTGAAGTGGATGATGGAGAGTATTTGAGCTGTTTTAAATGTTTGAATACATTATGGTTGATTTTGTGAAATATATTCATTGTTATAATATATTTAACTAGTGTAAGATTATTTTGTGAATTAATGTGTACACATTTAGAATATTGTTTCGAAGTTTATGGAAAGTCTATAAATTTGAGTTACTTATTAGCTAATTTAATTTTTGAGATTATTTACTGCAAAACAATATTTGTGTATATTAATTAGAAATTGTGGCACATAAATATTCTATAGCAAAAATAATATTACCACACTTAAATTGTAGCCATAGGAATGTAAATTTTGTATGCATATGGGCAAAGACTACACTTCAAAGTGTTGTCATATATTAGATATAGAATGCAACTTCATAATTTTAGGCAATATGGTAGCAAAGACAACGCTTAAAAATGAAGCTGATAAGGCAACACTTTTAAGATTAGATGCATAGTGTGTCCTATTTGCTTATTAGGCTACACTTGAAAGTATAGCTGATAACGCAACACTTTTATGTGTAGCTGCAAAGCGTGGTCTTTTTGCCTTTAAACCTACGCTTAAATGTGTAGCTGATAAGGCAACACTTTTAAGCGTAGCTGCAAAAGCGTGGCCTTTTTGCTTTTTTGCAACGCTTTTAAGGGCAACTGATAAGGCAACACTTTTAAATTGTTGCCTAAACTCATACTTTCTTCCTAATGAAGTCAACAAGATAAGTCACACCATACACATCACAACAATAGTAAGTCATTTCAAAACATTTCATTTCTAGCATGAAAATACTCTTCATAAACATGCATTAATTTGGTACACCCTAAAAAAGCTCCTCAAATGACTGTATTTAAGATCAAACTGCAAAGTCAACTAACAACCATAAAGTAGGTCAACATCAATTTTTTTTTCTTACCGTAGGGAGTTAAGGGTACATACTACCCTCTGAGTGATTCTATGGCAAAGACATAATCTCAACTTATGGAATAAAACCCTTTCTCCCTTTCTCCCCACTCTTAGATTAGGTTTATAAGGGGAATAATCAATCGTAAGGGTTCTCTCATTAGCTAGCATACTTCACAAGTACCATACAAGGTTCAACAACCATCTTAACTTCTTAGGAACAAGTCTACATTAAATACTCTAATCAACACAAGGGAAACTATGGAGGCATTTCTCAAAAAACAAGGCCATATACTCCAATCGCTATTTACCACGTTTCTCCAAAACATTTCAAGACAATCTCATAACATTAACCTGTCAACATGCTTGTTTATAATACAACCAATATTTAAAAAGGAACTACATTCAACTATAACATCTCTTAACAACCAAAAAACACATCATATCGTAGTTTTTAAACATAATATCTCAATTGTCATAATAAGATATGGCCATAAATGGCATCACATAAACATACCAACTTTAACCTTCACATATACTCATCAAGCCACAAAACAAAAGTAAGCATCAAAACTCACCTATTCTCCCTCAAGCTTTGAGACATCCTCCTTTCAAAGCAATCACATCTAAAAGACTACTGAACAAGGAAACATAAGAGAGAAATCATATAAAGCTAAGTTATATGGCATGACACAAGAGTAGATAACAAAGTGAAACTCTATTGTCCTATAGCCTCTCTCCATAGGTGAGTAGGGACTCATAACCAACTAACGAGACTCTACTACACGTGATTACAGGAGACTTTCGACCCTAAATTCACACACAGACACACACACACACACACATATATATATATATGTGTGTGTGTGTGTGTGTGTGTATAATATCGTAAGTGTAGAAGTAGACTCTAAGTCTTGTTTGCCAACATAAGACAATCAATAGAATAGAATAAGGATACAACCCTTAACAACATAAAATATAATCTAACTTGTTACATCCTCTTAAGGAAAAATCTTTACCTAGGCAACCCTTGATTCATAAGTGTTCCTTTATTGGAACTTGCGAGATCTATCAAAGTTCTTAACTTAGAAGACATCCTCTATCCATCAACATCTACACTTTGTATAAAAAAACAAAGAAGAATGTTATTAGTACAAGAATGTACTAAAGAGAACAATCATGCAAAAATATCCATTTAAAAAGGACATTTCATTTCAAATCATGCAACATGTCATTTTAGTAAACTTCATAATCATTGGAACATTTAAGAACAATATAGTTCACATACATCATATTGATGTGGATACTACTCAAAATAGCACATAAAGACTTCATCATACTTAAAGAATACATTACCTCTCTTTTATCTTACTTCTTTCTTAACTAACTCTGAAGTGTACTTAGTAAATGCATCACCTTAAGGTTACCTTACAATATTCTATCAGAGATATGCTACAAAATCATAAAAACATATATTCAAAAGTCATAAGCACATCATAAGCATAAGCTTCACATAAGAACAACCATCTAAGAAAACCCGTAAGTCGTAGTGCAATGTTTTTGTAGCATCCCATAATACTACATCCACAAAGTGTACCTAAAAAGTCACCATAGACTAGGCATAACATACTTATAATGTCATAACACTTTCATTTATAAGCCGACATAAGACACATACTTCATAACATCATATAAGGTCTCTTTATTTTACTATAACCTTAGTAATAACTCATTTATTTCATACCATAATTAAACCACCCTTATTATTCTTTCACAAGCTTTCTTTTGCAATGTACATATGGAGTCTCATAGCCCCACATATACTAAGTAAACCTATTAAGAAGACATCAGTGCAATGCACATACATAAGCATAATTCATTACTTGACATACAAAGTCAGTTAATTTGTATTCATACAGTTGATACATACATAACATAGGTCTTACTTTCATATATGTACTAATGTTATACTTTCTTGAAGTTCACTTGTGTAATGCATGGATAGAGGCCATAATCCTACCTATACAATGTAACCCTCTCAACGAAATGATAAGACTACATAGTCTTATCTTAGTGCATTTCTTATTTTGGGAGACTTAAACACAAACGACATAGAACATGTGCGCTACATGGAATCCGGTTTTATCCTCCCACACCAAAAAGAGAGGATTAAAACTTGTCTAAGGTGTATCAAATCGTACATATATATGTAAGGGATATCCAAAAGTTATAACCTATGGGGACACGTATTTATGGAACATAGATATTGATTCTAAAAACCTTGAGTTACTAGCGTGGAGGTTTCCATCTCATAACACACCATCTATGTTGGGAACCCAGACTTTTTAAATGTGAAGCCCCCACTCTCATTTGTCATGTTCATTTAGAGTTAGGCTCTAACTCCCTTATTAAATATATTTAAGCCTTTAATGTATTATCTAATGAAGAAGACTTTAGGAGCTTTTTCCTTCATACAACATATTTCTCAAAGGATTCTAAGATAAGAATGTCCTTTCATCCTAGACCATACTTCATCTGAGAATGTGCTTTAACATATTCATACAATCATACATCATGTGTGTGTGCATACAATGTGAGATTTACCTTCACATAAAACCTCGAATAACACATGTTCATTACTTCATTAATCATATACTAAGCATGCATAGAAATAGGAAATGATGCATAACAGAATTATCCTTTCCTTAGTCATCATCAATCTAACCTACTCTTAGTCATGCGTGAAGGGTGTATGTGCGCAATGGCAAACATGATCAGATAATGGTTATTGTATAATATTGATGAATCCACCCTCTAAAAATGACAATCCACATTCGTGCATATAGTACCCACTACATTATAGCATAGGAGACAAGACAACATCAATATTTATATTCAAGACCCCTTGAATTGACTTACATCACACATTCATATAGGGTAAATATTTAGGGTTCAATCACCATTATGGTTTCATCATTGAAAGCACATATACCAAACTTAATCTAACAAGTTTATTAAAAAGTTGGGAACTATCAATGCAACTAGAACATTATACTAGAGGAAGAGATATGCATACTACTTCATAGGTGTGAAAATCATTACCACACTTCATAGTTCCCACACTTTCCTCCAAGGACATTATAAAAACATTTAAACATTAACAAAAAGGTAAAGACCGCCACCATAAGGCACATTTATATAATCACATAATGATAAGGTACATTGGTAAGTTATCACCATCCTTACAACAATTACATCATATCCAACACCTCGAAAACCATAGTCAAGATATTTCAATTAAACATCATACAACAATTACCCATCATGATAACAAGACCAATTGAACCACTACATTACAATCCATCACTACTTCATAGCTTAAGATAAGAGACTTAAGTCAATGTCATAATTTAGATCAATCACTCAACAAAAAGAATTACAATACAATAATTCATCCTAATTTATTCAATATTGATACAATAATATCAGATGGTTGTAGTTAAACCAATAACCAATTCAATTGAACCAACATTAAACAATTATATCAAGATCACAACAAAGGGTTAAGGGGAATAAGTCATCTTTTACAAATTGGATCAATACGTGGAGAAATAAAATAATAGAGTTATAATACATGCTAATCTATCCATAACATACAAAAGCAATCATAAAAAAATCTATTCACATGATCAATTTCGAGATTGAAAAAGACCCATTTGAATTTAATTTTTCTGAAATCAATTTGATGTACCCCTTTGGGGAAAGAAGTCCCAAAGATGAAAGGAATATCTTGCCTTAATGTTTGATGAATATTTATAGAGAAATATGGTGATATTTATCCATAGAACCCCTTTGAATTTAACCTTCTATGTAGTTCATCAACTAGAGTGAAAGAAGAGAGAAGTAAGAGAGTTTGAGTTTGTGATTTATGAGAACTTAGGTTAGTCTAATTATGCTAAGTCCTTTATATAGGTTGTCAATTAAATTAATTAGACCTCCCCTAACCCCTAATTAACCTCCTAACTAAGAAAATGAATTACAAATTTATTAAAAATGTGCAGTAAAACAGTGGATCCACAGACGAGACAACGATCGATAGATAATGTGTCCATCGATGAGTACAGTTCACTTTCATGATGCTAACTCATCGATGAGTTCAAAGACTGTCATTTGTAGTCTTCCAAAAATTTGACTAAGTTTCCAGCGACGGAAGCAGTCCACACCGCGTCGATTGGACAATTTATTGTGTGTTGCATCCGTTGGTGGACACTGCCTT